GAGAGAGAGAGAGAGAGAGAGAGAGAGAGAGAGAGAGAGAGAGAGAGAAACATAAAGAGGGCATCGCCACACCACACCTGAAATGTGCAAAATGAGAATGAACTTCCCACTAGAACATGGCCAGATGCGCCCGCCACGTTTTCTCACATTTCGACTGTGGTGTGGCGATGACCACGGACTGCCCGCACCGCGGACCGAGCGCCAAACACTGGTGTGCCTGCATCTGACCATGTTCTAGCGGAAAGTTCGTTCCGACCCAAAAAGATTGCAAAGAAAATGTGTCTTTTTTGTCTTTTGTTTTTTCTTTTGTCTTTTTTTGTTTGTTTGTTTTTCGAACTAGCGCGAAAAAGTTGCAAATTCACGGGGGAAAAAAAAAACAGAAAGTCTTTTTTTTTTGGGAAACAAAACAAAAACAAAAGGAAAAACAAGGAAACAAAACAACATGCCAGAATGGAAAAAAAAAAACAAAAAAAAAACGAAACAAAACGACAAATTCTTTTTTTTTTTTAATACGAAACACAAACACAAAAAATAAAATAAAAAAGGGGGACGGACACAAACCGACACGGAAATGTTATCCGACGGCGGGCGCGTTAAGATATTCACCCGCATCGACGCCCGTTGTGGACCCGGCCCCGTGGGCGCGCTCTCTCGTTTAGTGGCGTGCTGTGAACAATTCGGTATGCGCGCCACTCTGCACGCCCACCCGCCCTCGATTGCCTTCATCCGCCGGCCCGCACCGAAACTTCGATCCGATTCCTGCGCGCAGCGGACCATCGACAGTTGGAGTTTTTCAACTGTACTGGGACGGAAGTAAGCTGAAGAAAGGACTCGAAACCGGGTTCCTGTAAACGCAGACGACAATTTGACAAGCCGCGGTCAAAGAGGACTCTGACATAGAGGGACCCCAGGCTATAACCGTCGAACGGTCCTGCCTGAGACTAGACCGGTACGACAGCTATGAAGCCGGCTACACGATCGTACACATTGGTCGGATCGGCTCGGTCTGCTTGTCCTGTGTACCGTGAGTTTTCCATTTCGTGTTCAATTTTCGAAGATTTTCGTTTTCGGCTTCTGTAACTGATTTAATGTTTTCGAGTTTTTCGAGTTTTTCAGGTTTTTCGGGTTTTTCGGGTTTTTCGAGTTTTCTCGATTTTGGACGCCTAGCCGTTTTCACTGAGGTACCGCGAGCCTTTATTCTCTGTTTGGTTTTTGGTTTTGTTATACTGTAATATTCAGAGATAGGCATGGGGTAGTACGATAGGCATAGGAAGGAGTGTCAGGTATGGATACGTGCATATAGTAGGTGGAGGCAAGGCATCAAGCCTCTTTCGACAGAAGTACTCGTGAGAGAGTGTGCCTTCCTGATGAGTTCGAGTAGTGGCCGGACGAAACCGGTCGAGGGATCTACTTTGTCGTTTCCGGGAGAACTGGATATGGTGGCGTGGGTGAAAGAACGCACGTTAAGTGTGAGCAACACAGACGGAGTGGAAGGTCTGGAGAAGCTGTGTTTTTTCGGTCTAAGTGTATTTTGCAACTTTTTCGATGATGTTCATTAACTCTGTTCGATGCTTCTAAGAGTGTGTGTTCTTTTCCCGTGCTGTTGTGTCTCCCGACAGACTGTTTGTCGCAGTCTGCCTGCTTATGGGAACACAGTAACTGGTGCCTTTCTTAGCGTAACGGTGGCTGTGTTAGAGTACGGTGGCAGATTACGAATGGTTTGATGTACGGTCGTTAGAGAAGGGCGTAATAAGTTAAGAGTTTGCTTCGGAAGGAGAGATACTTGGAAGAACAGTTAATTATGAATAGTTTGATGTACGGTCGATAGAGAAGGACGTGATAAGACCCTATCGTTGGTTTTAAGAACAATATTAAGAGTCTGCTTCAGAAGGGGAGATATTTGGAAGAGCAGCTAACAACGAACCGAGGAAAGGATAACATGAATAACAGGAATAACAATGGGAACAATGGGGTTAATGGGAACTACGGAGGCTACGGGGGGAGAAGGGGGATTTCGTGCTATGAGTGCGGGAAGACAGGTCATATGGCACGCGATTGCTGGTCCAAGCGTGGGAAACCAAATCAACACGAAGATGAGGTTCACGTGTTCATGAGGGAGCTTATGGAAGAAAAGAAAGAAGAGCGGAGAAAGAAAGCTGAAGAAGAACAAAAACGCTCGAAGGAGGAAGATGAAAGGAGACGGGAGTTGGACATCACCACAAGAACGGAGGAGATGAAATTGCAGCTACAGGCCGACATTGAAGATAAGTGGAGGAGACAACTGGAGGAGGCCGCGAACAGGGCAAGGGAGAACAGACAAGAACCCGTGAAGACTGAGAGCCCCAAGATAACGCCGCAGAGCAAGACAATCACCAAGGGAAAGAGGAAGAAGGCACGAAGACAAGCCAAGAAGACGAACAAGGGTAAACGCGCAGTGCTGTCTTCAACCAGCTCAGACACAAGCGAAGGTAGCAGCCCAACAACGAGCGAATCTAGTGAGGACTCCGAAGAGGACGCGTTATGGATCATTCAACTACTGCGCGCCGAGAAACAACGGGCAAAGTTGAAGAAGAAACAAGGGCGAGGTAGATCAGCCAAGAGAACACCACCAAGCAGATGCAAAAGAGGAGAATGCTCAAAACGATCAATGGCGCCTGAAACAAGGGAGAAGGGTGAAGTGGAAGAAGAGCCTAGGACACCACTCCCAAAAGGATACAAAGGCAAAGCGGCTGGTTGCTCGCGAGAAGGGTTCGTCGACTATACGCTGCAAGTATTCCAGGAGTATTCAGCTAAGAAGGTTCCCCAACTGCGCGAGATCTGTGAAAAGGAAGGGATAAAGACTACGAAGAAGGATGAGATGGTTATGGAGCTTGTCAGACGGCAGACATAGCGGGCCTATGAAGGGTTCTTTGAGACACCAATAGGTAAGGAGGGAGTGAAGGAGCAGCAGAAGAGCCATGAAACCGAGGTCGTAGACAAGACATCACCGGAAGTGGTCAAGACAACGGTGAACACACGAGCAAAGACGTTCAGCAGTCGGAGCCGACCTGATGATAGTAGTACGGGACCTACCTCAACATGAGAGGGACGGCGAAGCAAGGAGCAAAATCGAGACGAAGGAAAGGAAGGAGGGAACGGAAGAAACGAGGAGGCGGAACCATGGGGCTGACGACAGTGAAATTCACCACGGCAGAAGGGACGCGGACTTCACTGCTGAACCGGATGCGGGAGAAATATGAGGAACAGGCTGGAGCGACGAAGGTCGAATTCACGGCGCGACGACAGTGGACGGATGGATGGAAACAGATCACTGCACAGTTCGGGATGTCAGAAGTGGAAGTCGAGGGAAAGTCAATGCTACTGAAGCAGGCGAAAGCCACCTGCCAGCCAGGCGGTAAGGTGAAGTTCATGAGATTTCGCAGGACATCTAGCACAACTGAACGGTATAAACTCGAATTACCGAAACTACTGAAGCAGCCTAGACAGATCGCCTCTCTTGTCCGACAGCCGACTAGCAAACTGATAGGTTTGTATAGAACCGCTGGCCTTTTCGGTAGAAAGGAGACGAGAGAGAAACTGAAGTTGAAGATTGATCGGACATTGAAGAGGAAAATGGGAGTTAGTGTACGGCACAAAGTGACTTAGTGTACGGCACAAAGTGACTATGAGGTATCGATACAGTGCGACCTTCCTGAAGTCGGAAGTCAGACGGAAGCCAAAGTCAGTGATTAACGAGAGACTGGAGGACAACGCTCTTGCGACATTCGTAAAGAAGAAACTCAGAATAGTCAACACACGAAACAAGACCGTGGGAGAAGTCACACATAATCACCGCTCGTACGCTCACACCAGACCTGTGCAGTGCCCATGTGCACAATTCCGGCTGACCAAGCGAGATGGACACGTACTCACAAGAGTATCGGACATGGCCGACACGCCGACTTTCGTACGAAATGCGAAGAATATTACGAGACCAGATTCACAGAGTTGTCACAGGGATATAGTCCAGGGGATCATTGCGGCAACCGCCTATCTCAAGGGAAGTTCACAAACCAAGTTGACTGGCGATTCCTGCATCGAGTCTGGAGGAGAGAGGTATGCGGCATAGACCGAAAGTGAAGTGAGGGCTTGGACCTCTCAGTATGATGGGCTCGTGCTGGCACCCGTAGATTGGAACCCTGGTGACACAGCCCTGATCTGCCCAGTCCTATATAGGCATGGGTTCGGGAGCACTTTCATGTGGAATCGAGACTACGAGACGGTGGTCGAACCAGAGGCAGAGATCCTGGCAAAATGCAAGGAGGACTTTGTAGGGGCAGGGTTACCGGAAATAGGAAACTGGAAAAGGGACGGGAGGCTGGGGAAAGCCTACGTGATACCCAAAGATAAAGACCTGCAGCGCTGGAGGCCGATCGCCCCGACATGCAGTGATCCGGCAGAATTGGCGCAACGGAGGGGTGCAAGGGCCTTACACTGTCTCATTACAAGATTCTCAAGAACGAAGAACTTCCATCTGAAGTCGACGATGGAACTCAAGGACGATCTGGAGCAGGCGGGAAGTAAGATGAGAAGGGAAGGATGCGATATAGCAATGGGGAGATGTTATGATATCAAAGAGATGTTCTCTTCGATATCGCATCTATCTGTGAAGAATGCAGTACTGGCTTTGGTGATGCACTTCGAAGAGCAAGGTTGGAGACAGGTGAGAGTGGCAACCAGGGGGAAACTATGTCATCTGTCAAAAACCAACCGCAAAGAAGACGGTTTTATCTCCGTCAAACTTGACATGATTAGGACAATTGTGGAGTATGATCTTGCACATGCCTACATGATGCATGGCGATGTGGTAAGAAGGCAGATTGCAGGGATCCCTATGGGAAGGATCACCAGCCCGGTGCTGGCGACAGTAACGTGCGCTATGGCTGCAGCAGTTTTTCTTTCCAGTCTGGGAGAGGACAAAAGGATAGTGATGGGATGGAGAATGGTGGGCGACGTCTCGATTATTGTGGGGTGCAGCAAGGACCAACAGATGTGGCAGAGAGCAGTCGCAATCCTGGATGCGTTCGAAGAAGCGTATGATCACAGACTGAAGCTGATCCGGAAGGATGAAGGCACAAATACGTGGCGTTTCATCGGAGGACAGATGTACATCTTGTCGGAACCAGTCCAGATCCATTTCGTGTAGGAAACAAAGAACAGTGAGACATTACGTCGCGACGGGACTCTACGGTACCAGTCAATGCAAGACTTTACCAGCTACTCCAATAAGAGAACCAAAAAGGGAGCCCTGTCGGGAACGCTGAGAAGACTGTGGCTATCTTCGACATCTCAAGCACTGTGTATAAGCTCAATTGCATACCCAGTGACAGAGAGTATTCTCCGGGGCTACCCCCCGGAGGTTTGTCTGGGCGCCTTGGCAAAATTAGCCAAGGCTACGGCACGGAAGACCCTATGGACACTAGCTGGAGTTTTTCAACTGTACTGGGACGGAAGTAGGCTGAAGAAAGGACTCGAAACCGGGTTCCTGTAAAGGCAGACGACAGTTCGACAAGCCGCGGCCAGAGAGGACTCTGACATAGAGGGACCGCAGGCTATAACCGTCGAACGATCCTGACTGAGACTAGACCGGTACGACAGCTACGAAGCCAGCTACACGATCGTACACGTTGGTCGGATCGGCTCGATCTGCTTGTCCTGTGTACCGTGAGTTTTCCGTTTCGTGTTCAATTTTCGAAGATTTTCGTTTTCGGCTTCTGATACTGATTTAATGTTTTCGAGTTTTTTGAGTTTTTCGAGTTTTTCGGGTTTTTTGGGTTTTTCGAGTTTTTTCGATTTTGGATGCCTAGTCGTTTTCACTGAGGTACCGCGAGCCTTTATTCTCTGTTTGGTTTTTGGTTTTGTTATACGGTAATATCCAGAGATAGGCGTGGGGTAGTACGATAGGCATAGGAAGGAGTGTCGGGTATGGATACGTGCATATAGTAGGTGGAGGCAAGGCATCAGGCCTCTTTCGGCAGAAGTACTCGTGAGAGAGTGCGTCGTCCTGATGAGTCCGAGTAGTAGCCGGACGAAACCGGTCGAGGGATCTACTTTGTCGTTTCCGGGAGAACTAGATATGGTGGCGTGGGTGAAAGAACGCACGTGAAGTGTGAGCAACACAGACGGAGTGGAAGGTCTGGAGAAGCTGTGTTTTTTCGGTCTGAGTGTATTTTGCAGCTTTTTTGATGATGTTCATTAACTCTGTTCGATGCTTCGAAGTGTGTGTGTTCTTTTCCCGTGTTGTTGTGTCTCCCGATAGACTGTTTGCCGCAGTCTGCCAGCTCCCCCCTGTGACCAACGCTGCTTAAGGGGTAGGATAATAAAAGAATATTTCTAACTTCAGGCTGCGGTATAATTAGAGAAACGAATTAAAACAAACAATCAACCTGCAAGAAAATTGCAAGTTCAAGACAAGCCTTAAGAGCCCCCAAGGACTCTTTGTTGTTAATTGACAAAGCAAACAAGTCGTCCGCCATTGCGGATGCTTTGCATTGCTTGCCCTCTCCTATAGGCAAGCCTTGAATTTCTGGGTGCTTCCTGATCAAAGATAAAAGGACCTCCATTTGGATTACAAACAGCATGGGTGCCAAGGGACACCGTTGCCGTAACGACCGAGAGAGTGGAAATGGGCTTGATATCACCCCATTCACCATGACGTTCCCCAGAGCCATCAATTGGCCTAAGTCTGTGGCAATTACTTGTGATAGTGCACTACTGTTTGTGGATTGGAGTTTGAAGTGCTTACCTGTGGGAGATTGTGAGCGGTTTCGGGGGGTGCAGGTAGGCATGCTGGAGTGTAAGAAGAGAGCCAGTGCAATGGTGGAAAGAACGGTGGTCTCCAAAATTGGTCAGGTATCGACGGTGAATGGTACATCCATATTTGGGCGAGCACTGTTTCTTAATGCGGTGTTTTTTTTCCCCATCTGCTTCCCTGGGTCCATCAGAAGCTTGGAAACAAAGACCTATGGCAGAATCAGGTCCCTATCCACAAGATAGTTGTGGAAAGGTTCCAGCAGTGAAGAAATCGGCTACATTGCCAAACTAGCCTGGAAAAAAATTACAGGGGAAAAGATGGATGGAGGTCTGGGGTCAAGGATCCTGAACTACAGGTAAAATCCTTGCTGGCCAGATGGGTGGTCTATCTCCTCTCTGAGTCCCCTTCTTACCCTCGGGCAGATCTGGCCATTATCATTCTCATGAAGGTCTGGGGATTGAGCAGAACTACCCCATCTTTTGTCAAAGGTCGTGCCATTCTGTAACCTAGCAGTTAGGGGCATGAGGCGTGATAGAGATTGGGCATCGGGATATAGGGGTGAGGCTGGTAAGGGTTGGGCTGCTGAAAGGCCCTAAGGCAGGTGCTTTTTTTCCGAATGCTTCTTTGATCCGAGCTTTGGGGGACACAAAATTTCAGTGCTCTTGTAAAAAAAAAAAAAAAAGTCGAAGCCGGGTTCTAGCCCCGGTATCTCAAGGATATCTTTAAAAAAAGGTTTGTTTACAGGTGGTTCTGAGAATGCTTTAGGATTCTGGGGACTTCTAGCAACTCGCTTTAGGCTGTTTGATACTGATACATTCATGGATATGCGGTTGTTCAACGCCAGAACGACGCTGGGCGGTGCTGGCGTATCGCCCTGTAACCTGCTGGCTGCAGGAGCGTGAGGCCTGGTAGAGAGATCTGGGGATGCTTTGGGGTGGGCATTCCAAGGGACAACCAAGGGTTGTTGTTGGGACGACGCTGGCCGGAGCTGGGGCGAGTCATGTTGCTCTGTAACCTAGCCGGGTGGGAGTGTGAGGCCTGGGAGAGCTCGACAGGGAATAAGACAGTGTTGGATAGTCTTAGAGAGTTTTGTTTGGGAGCCTAGGGGTTCTGAGCATTCGAAAAGAGGTCAGTAGTCATTCATAGTTTTTCAACCTCTTTTTAATTCTCTTGAATTTCTTCAATAGTTCTCAATAGTTATCAGATTGATTCTCAGCCGAAGCCGGGTAATGGCCCCGGTATCTCAAATGACTTGTGTAACTCTATATGGGACGCTGGGCCCGGTTCCCAGCACGTGCTGTTCCCCACGAATAGACTGGAGCATTTGTCCCAAAAAAAAAAAAAAAAAAAAAAAAGTTCGCCTATTTGGAAGGATATCCTTCTAGCCTGGTCGTCGGTCATGCCAACACAGCTGAAAGAGCCACTCACTAGAGAGGAAATTTTGACACAAAATGTCTTTGAAAGCAGGTACATATATGAAATGAGTCCAGCGTTTGCATCACCAACCGCCTCACAAACCTGTTGCTAGTACAACACATATGTCGGCTCGTTTGAGTGCGGCACTTAAAGGTGTCATCCGTACTCTCCATGAAAAAGATAATCAACTCTTCCAATCCAAAGGTATTCGTCGATGTTGGATTGTCCAGAGCAGTGACGAGGTCATGCTTGACCTAAAAAAGAATAAAGCTTCTCTTCGAGGTTTGGCCCCCCATATGGTCGATTTCACTACTATGTATACTAATCTTTCTCATCAACGGATTCTTAACAATGTTGCTAAGGCTGTTGATGAGGCACATGCCTATGCTCTTGCACAGGCACAACAACATACACGGACACGCTCATCCTGTGTTGCTCTTCATATGGTGGTTCGTGGACCGTGTGCAGGGGAATAGACTACGGATACGGGATCTAACACTCTTTCTATGTCTGACATTCTTCAACATCTTCGGTTTATTGTTGCTAATACATATCTATATACAGCGGATGGCCTTGTTCGTCATCAAGACGTGGGTATTCCCATGGATACAAACGCTGGTCCTGAGATTGCTAACCTCACACTCCATTGGGATGAGGCACAGTACATGGACAACCTGCAGTGTGTGGATCCCTCTGCAGCTCGCTGATATGTTTTCACTTATCGGTTCATTGATGATGTTCTTACCTTTGGTTGTCTGCCACCATCGCCAGCCTATTATGGTCTTGAATGGAAGTAGACCACTGCGACTGATGGCTCTTGCACTTTTTTAGGTGCGAAACTACGGAAACGAGCAGATAGATCTCTCCGATTGAGTGTGTTTGACAAGACAGTTGCATGGGATTTTCTTGTTATACGATATCCTAGTGCAACGTCAAACATTCCGTCTCATCAGCCTGCAGGAGTGTTCACCGGCCAGCTTACGCGGTTTGAGCAGATTTGTGACAATTGGCATGATTTCAGAACTGCGGCAACCATGCTTGTCCGCCGTTTGCTCTCCCGTGACCATGCTCCTTCGACATTGGCCCGTGGATGGACTTGTTACATTCGTGCTCGCCAACGTCGACAACCTATACATGTAACTTGTCTTACACAATGGTTTCGACATATGCTTCGCTGGTCTGTGCATCATCCTCTTCCACCTTCTCCTCCTCTTTCCTTCGCTTCTCCTTCTCCCTCTCCCCCTCCT